AGTATTATTTATTTGGGGCTGAAATATAAAAATGTAACTAGAAGGACATTTAAGTGAACATCCTCACTCTGATGTCAAGATATGACATGATGGACGATGTGAGCCTGATGGGTGGATGTGAATGGAATTCCAGTTTTGTCGATCCGACACCATCCATCCTTGCTTCTTCTCCACTAGCTCTCAGACTCCCTTTGAGAATCAGCCTTCCCCGTGGTACTTTCAAGCCAGGTTTCCAAGCCAGATGCAGTTGGAAAGATCTAGAGACTGAGATTCTTGATTCAAGACAGGCCACACACACTCACTCCAGCAGTGGAGTCATGCTAAAGAGGACGTCAGAGCAGAAAGGAGAGTCCAGAGACAGAAGTCCCATCATGCCACCTGCCACATGTGCTTCTGGACCTCGCTGAGTTTTGTGAGTGTGTGTGTGTGTGTGTGTGTGTGTGTGTGTGTGTGTGTGTTTTAAAAATACACAAGCTAGTAAAGTCCTTTTTCCAGCTTCCTTTAGTGTCAACGGGAACAATAATAAAACTCAAAATGCCTTGATTAATGAAACCATGATTGGTTATTATTTTATTACATCTTAGATGTAGTTTAGGCTGTCACCATAATGGGATTAATTTACACCAATAGTTTTGACTTGAAAGTGGGGAACATTTGTAATCAAAGACCCCCAGTCTTATCATATTTGGGGGCCAGAAAAAGGTAGACACAAAATACCAGGAAAGGAAAGCCGTACCTTTGGTAGTGTGGCATCTTTCTCTTTTTTTAAAGAGTTACTTTATATTTTTAATGACAAACATGATGTGTGTCTTCATGTGGGTGCTTGTATGTGAATGCAGGTACCCGCGAAGGTCAGAGACATGGGATAACCCCGGAGCTGGTGTCAGAGGCAGCTGTGAGTTGTCGATAATGTGAGTACAAGGAACCGAACCCAGATCCTCTGGAAGAGCACTATAAACTCTTAACTGCCGAGCTATGGCTCCAGCCCTAGTACATCTCCTAAGGAAATTGTAAAAAGGGGAGAACCAGTGGGGATTCTACAGCAGGCCTGGGAATCTGCATGTTTTGTGGACTCCCCAGAGCTACTGAGGGGCCACTTGCTGACACTTGGACAAATACCACTCTAATGGGTCTAGGTCCGCTTAGCTCCTGTAGGAGTTTCAAATGCAGCGGTGAAGGAATTCTCACAAGGCAATGAGATGGGAGAATGTTCATAATGATTCAGGAACCTACAAGGACTCTGAAGACCAAGATGGAGTGTAGGCAGGAATTCTGAAGCCAATCTGGCCAATGTTGAGGTGTCTCAGCGCTAAGACTGGAAGAATGCAGACTCTGCATTTGGCCCTCTTTGTGACCATTTTCTATAAAAGGAAGCAATATAGACTAAAAGCAAGAATTTGAAAATGAATTTCAGGCTTCTGTCCTCATCAGTTCCATCGCAATGAACTGCAATCGCCTCGCAGTAGGTCACGGAACAATCAACAAAGACGACCTGTGAGAACTCATCTCAGCTTTGAACAGAACAGCCATAATGAGCACAATTAAAATAATTGTTGAGAAGCATTTGCACCGGATTCCCCAACACACAAAAGACAACGTGACGGGATGGGATCAATTGCTTTCTAAAGGGAACATCAGAGTTTAACAGGAAAAACTGTTGCCGACTGTGACAGGCAGGGACGTGACGACGCAAAGCTCATTGGCTCCTGCCTCAGACAGCAGGGCAACAATAAACCCATCTCCTGCTGTACACTACATCTGCCTTTGTTGAGGGTCAGTGGTTAAGTAAGAGTCAAAGCTGTGACTAAATCTCAGAACTGCATCCAGCTCTTCTGAAAATGGGTTCTCCAAGAGAACAGAACTCATATACTGTAAAGTGCCTGTTTTATGTAACAGGCTGGCACTTTGAAACATGTAGAATGGTATTCTCTGTCTACTAGCCTTGGGGCAATTGAGGGAAAAGCTGTCAAATAATTTTTCAAAGGGTTTGCTTGCCAACAGAAATCCAGTGAGAAAGACTAGCTGATATTCCTTAACCTGAAAATGTATGGGTGTATATACACATATACATATATATATGTATATGTATACACACACACACATACACACACACACACACACACACACACACACACACACACACACACACATATATATATATAATGCATTTCCAGGCTATATAATTGAGTAACATTTTTTGATTGCAAGTAAGGTAGCCCAGGAGTACTAACAGTTGTTCTTAGAATAATTTAAAACTTCGCCTGGAAAACCAGGAACTAGAAGAGTGATATTTATTGTCCTCAAGTCCCACTTTCACATCAATAAACAGCTTTATGTACCCCTGGCTGTGATGTCAGTGAAACTCAGCTGTCACAGAGACACAACAGAACTCAATCCACAGTGTGGCCACCTTGGTTCATCACAGCCATTAGTCACTAAGACACCAAGCACATCTTATTATGCAGAAGTGTGACTCAAGGATATCCAAGGATAACAGCAAATCTGCTAAACAAATTCTGATTCGTTTTGTAGATGGGGCTTTGTAAAAGGCTTATACATTTAGTATGAGCTTATAAATAGGGGCTCACAATACCAGATTTTGAGTTGTGTGTCATATCCAGCTAATTCACTATTCCAATATCCACTTTTTTACTTCTGACTTATAGCAGCTATATATTTTTCTTTTCTGGTGATTTCTTATAAGCATACAGTGTATTTAGATAATATACAGCCTACACATCTTCCCTCCCATTCCTTCTGGATCCTCTTAGGACCTACTTTTTTCTTCTTTTAAAAAACAATTAAGTTAATTCATTGAGAATTTTATACATCACATTTTGATTATATTTGCCCCAAATTTCTCCCTTAACTCCCCCCACACTCACTCCCCATCCCTACGCCCCACTTGTGTGTCCTCCTTTAATTTGGGCTCTCCATAGACTCCAAGATGTGGAGCCATCCTCTGGAGTGTGGCCCGACCTACCGGGAGCCATTCCTCCAAGGAAACTGACTCTCCCTTCCCCAGAAGCCTCAGTCGGGGTAGGGCTCATGCAGCCCTTTCCACAGAACCTGAACTTTTAACTAGATACACTGTTAGACATTCAAGAGGAAAATATTTCATTGGAAGGAACTTCTCTGTGTCCCTCTGCCACCTTATTTTTTAGTGGTGAATAAAATCCATGGTTACACCGAACTCCAAAGTGACCCTCACAGGCAGGGAGGCTGTGAGGTAAAGTGACAGAGCAGAGGATGGATAAGCATCCTCTGACTCACCACACTCTTGTCTTTATTTCTCTCCTGGCTGCTGTGATGAATACTCTGATAAAAGCAAATTAAGGGACAATGGTTTAATCATGGTCACAGTTCAAGGGGTCAGCCCACCATAGGAGGAAAGTAATGGTGGCTGGAGTCTGGAGCAGCTGGTCACATGATATCCACCATCAGGACCAGAAAGTGATGGATTCAGCTGCTGCTCAGTTCTCTTTCTCTATTACAGTCCAGGATCCCAGCCAGGGGAATAGTACTACCCAGAGTGGGCAAGTCTTTTCATCTCTACTAATACCATCAAGACACCTCTCCCCACAGGCATGCGCAGAGGCCTGTCTCTCCAGAGATTCTAGATTTTTATCAGCTTCATAATTAAAACTAAGCATTCTTTTTAACATGATGGAAAAAAGACACTTTTTATCATGCTTAACCCTCTGTTTCAAGTGACAGAATATAACTTTAATTTAGATAATCCATGTGCATTTCTTAGTCAGGTGACTTAATGAACTAACTGAGGTCAAATATTTGAATTAGTTTACAACACTGAAATTGAAAAAAAATATACCAAGGACAGTAAAAAGAAACACAAAAGCACACAACTAGTAATAAGCATTTTAGTGTTAGTCAACTGGTAATAGAAGGAAAATCTTGTTCCTATATTTCATTAAATTGAAAAGAATAATTTAGAGAGAAGTTTAGATCAATAATAAAGAATGAGTAAACAAATAATTAATACTATGTTTGATATGTATGGATATTGGTGATTTTTATGGATTCATGGATATTTCTGAAGAGCCTTCCAACAGGTATTTACCAAAGTTAACAGACCATCTAAAGGGGGGTTTCACAGCTAATGTGCAGACAGTGTGCCCTTTTTCTTTTTTAAAATCTGTTTCTTGGAGTCACACATATCTTTGTGTGACTCCTTCACTTGATGTCTGTTTACATTCAGTATTTTACTTCTGGCCAAATAGAGACTTTGGTCTTTTAGCTTTTATGCCCAACATAAAAAGACAGACATCTTGGAGAAATTCCCAGAACAATAGAAAATTAATAACATGTTTTGATGTCCTATGAATCCTTTAAAATCTGATTTCTGTTCTACAATCTTGAAAAGTCATTAAAATATTTTAAATTAGACCAAGCAAAAATACTGAAAGCATTTGATTATATTTAATGTAAAGTCTAAAGGAATATTAGATTGTTTGATCATCCACGCAGAAGTTTGGTTTAGAGTTGTTCTTTAATAAATAGGAATTTGTGGGTGATTATTTGGTCACAAATATTTTATTTTAAAAAATGTTCATATTAAGTGTAGTATGAAGATTTTATAACTATCCAAGATCTCCTCTACTCCCGTGTTGGGCAGCCCTTTAGGGAAACAGTTATGGTCCATCTCTTCTTTGTCATTTCAGGGTTATAATTTTAATACTTTGGAATCCTTACTTTGCCTTCAAATGCAAATGTCCATGGTTATGTTTATGTAAATTACTGGCACACATTATCCAGTCTAACAGCCTAAGGCAGTGTGTAGTATTGAATTTAACCGCAGTGATTTATTCATGGCCCGCTCAGTTGGCTGTGGAGATTCATATTTCTTCACAAGAATCACAAACGGGAAAGGATCTGGAGTATTTAGGAAGATCACTTTTCTGGCAAATGTTTTTTTTCTGTCACTCACTTCTTTGTTACAACTATATAGCTAATGAGATGATGTGATAAAAATGCCTTACCCCTGTGACATCCATAACCTTGATGGCTGCAAGCTGTCCTGTTTTGACATGACGACCCTGTAAGAAAAAAAAAACAAGATTTAGTTGTGATGAACAATGTTAGTTTTCCATTCCAATCACATAAAGATCAATGGCTAGATCAATATTCCAGTATGCAGAAACCAGACAGACAAAAACATAGATAGACAATAGAAATGTTTTAAAGACCTAATTCTAGTTAGTATTTGTTTTTATTTATTTATTTATTTATTTATTTATTTATTTATTTTTTATTTTTTTTATTTATTTTTTGGTTTTTCGATACAGGGTTTCTCTGTGTAGCTTTGCGCCTTTCCTGGGACTCACTTGGTAGCCCAGGCTGGCCTCGAACTCACAGAGATCCGCCTGGCTCTGCCTCCCGAATGCTGGGATTAAAGGCGTGCGCCACCACTGCCTGGCTAGTATTTGTTTTTTAAAAACATTCCCTGTTATGTCATCTTTTTTACTCATTTTCACAGGGGGTCATCAAGTAAATGAAATGGGAATGTTGGACAATCCGATTTTCTTTCTATCAAAAGCACTAAACCAGGGCTTGTGTGAGTGGCAGATTCACACAAAGTACAGACCAGTCTGGATGGAGGGGATGAGGAAATCTCAGTAAATAGGAACTGAAGGGACTTACTTTCAGTTCTTAAAACATTCTGCATGTTGGGCTAGGAATATGGCTTAGTGGTAGAGACAAGCCCAGCATACACAAGGTTTTAGGGTCAATCCTCATGACTGAAAAAACAATATCAATCAACAAAATCAACTGGCTATAACGGCCATTGTCAGCTGGGCACTGGTAAATGTGTGGAGCCAACACTTGGTGATGGGAAAGGGGGGCAGGGACCACTTTCAACTCTTCATCCCCAGGAGCATCTGGACATTTACTTCCACAGTGACGGAGGGGAACAGTGCTGCTGGGACTCAGCACTCATGGCTGGGGACTCAGTTTCTGAGTTGGAACAGTCAAGGTCACAGGAAGATGCAGCAGCCACAGCACTCTCTTGGTGTGTCCCAGATAGCTGTCAGAGTCCTGGAGGTCTGAGGAATACTGTGATGCTGCACTACTGTCTTCAGGGAGAGACCACAGCTAGCTGGAAAGACTGCCAACCACATCTAGAACAATGTTTCTCCTCTGAAAACTGAAAGACAAAGGGCACCTGTAGACAAACACATGAGTCAATTTGATATCATCCAACTCAACTCTGTTAGAATTCTCTGAATTGGTCCCCTTGGGCTGGGCAAAGTCAGTCCTTGCAAGTAGCTAATAGCACTCTCCAAGGGCTGGCCTCCTTTGTGAAAATCAGCTTGATAGAAGCCCACTGGCTTTGTGGTCCAACTGTTTGAAGTTCTCTAAACACTATTGTTTTTAGCCCCTGTAATGGTCTCTCTTCTAGGTCTTTGCCTTCTTGATCCTGCACTATGTCTAGTTTTTTTTTTTTTTTCTAAATTTAATTAAAGTATCACTTCTCTTCCTCTCAATCAAACCTCACCTCTCCACTACCAAGGAACACATTCTGTTTCCACCATTGCTTGGTGCCCACTGTATCAACATTCTCCCTTCTGTCTCTTTCTCCTTTCTTTCCTCTCTGGCATCATTGCAGCATCACCCCTGGAATCAGACCTTCATGGGATCTCCTCTGCTCAGGACCTTGGCTATCCAAGTCAAGACACATTCTGAGTTCCTTTCTCCCCATGGAGGTCTATGTGGTACTTCTCCCAACATAGAATCTGAGACACTACGCACAAGGCACCCCAGCGCACTGGACCCAGGCACCCACAAAGGATACCAGGCACCCCAGCGCACTGGACCCAGGCACCCACAAAGGATACCAGGCACCCCAGCGCACTGAACCCAGGCACCCACAAAGGATACCAGGCACCCCAGCGCACTGAATCTTCTTTGAGTGAATAATTTGTTACAAGGGTACCCCAACGTCTAATTAAAGAGCAGCAGCTGGGACAGAATAGAGCTACTCGACAGTGTGGTGCTGGCCTAAGGCCAGAGAACAGAGGAGAAAATCAACCCTGTTAAATTTCACACAGAAGGCACTGGCAAATTCTTGGTTTGAAATCAATAAAATAACTGCTATTTTAAAAATTAAGGGTATATGATTTTTTTGTGGCTTCATTCATTTAGAGTTCTCTATGAATGTAGAAAATAAAACAACAGCTCTACACTCACTTTGAATTTCACTTCAAGCTGAGAGTTTGGCTTTTGATGGAGCTGTCACATGGCTGATGCCTCCTTATGAAGGCAGGCCGGGCTTAAGTGAGATTCTGCAAACAGAACAATGACCAGCCTCGGCTCAGGCCCAGGCAGAGGCTCCTCAAGCTGGAGCAGGGATGCTGCCTAGCTGTCAGACTCTGATGGTCAGGAAGGACCACAAAGGACCAAGGAGGACCCTGCTCAGCATGAGCTGCCTTTCACATCACTGGAGGATGTCAAAGCTGGTTACCATCCAGATTAAGGCAGACCTTTGAGGAATGGTGAGCAGTCAGCTGACTTCAAGATCATTAAAAACCTGAGGCACAGTTAGGATGGAGACAGTTTTCAAAGAAGCCACATCATAAAAACAAGAGTAAATTAATAAGAACAGCCCCATAATGCATCCAAACAATCCTGTTCTTTTAGGGATGAGGCCCAAATCTCACAGCTAATGAGACCCATATATTAGGATATAGTGTTCTCTATCTCATTTCTGCCACCCAGGACCTGGGTTACAAATCTGTACTGTTGAAATTTGAAAATGATTTTTGTTTTCTTAAATATTGCACATATATATATATGGTATGCATGTATGTATGTGTGTATGAGTGTATGTATATGTGTGTATATATGTATGTGCACATATGTATGTGCACATACGTATGTATATGTGTGTGTATATGTGTGTGTGAACAGTCTCAGGTGTTGGTCCTCACCTTCTCTGCCTTGTTTGAGACAACATCTCTTCTTTCCTTGTTTCTTTGTGTGCCAGGCTAGTGGGTCTATGGACTTGCAGGGTTCTCCTGCTCCTGTGTCCATTTCCATCTCACTATGGGAGCACTAGGTTTACAGTGTGCTGATTTAAACTCAGGTCCTGTTGTGTGCAGGCAGAGCCTTACTCCTGAATCCATCTCCCCGGCCTCTTGTGTTCCTTTTGAGACAATCTTGGGTAGCTCAGGCTGAACTTGAATTCATTATAGAGCCAAGCATACCTTGAATTCACGATCTTCCTGCCTCTATATCACAAGTGCTGTATGCTTGGATTACATGATGTTTTTAAAAAAATCATGTTTCACATGAGCTCAACATTGATCTGTTCATCTCTGCTGCAAATATGTTTCTTTTTGTTGTTTTAATGGTCTAAAAAATTTGGAGTCAGGATAACAAAGGCGGACCTTATTTCCACAGGGAATAATTAAGTGAAATTTCCACACTCCCTTCAATATTTTAATTTATTTCTACTCTTAAGAGTAATTAAAAATAAAAATATAGACATCATTTGAATTTGAATCTAATTTGTAAGTTCAATAAAAAATTGAAAATTAGATTTCTATGAAATGAAAACAGTCTTCTAAATGGAGGCAAGAGTTAAATAAAATTCTTCACAAAAAATAGAGATGTCGGATTGCAACTACTGCATCATTTCTGAATAAAAGCATGAAGTGTTTTGTTTCCTACTGAGATATTTAACAGTAACAAAAGTTAGTAAACAGACTAAAATCTAGAAAAAAAAAAAAACCAACCAAAATCTTAGTGCTAAAGAAAAAAGGTGTAGAAAAAGTCTGCCAAGAATGATGAAGAAGGATTTCTGGGAGAGCTAGGAGCCTGCAGAATGAACACAAGATCTATCACCTGCACAAAGGATACCAGGCACCCCAGCGCACTGGACCCAGGCACCCACAAAGGATACCAGGCACCCCAGCACACATCTCTAACCCTGGCACTGGTTTAGAGGACAGCAAAGACAAGTGGGTGCCTGGAGTTGTTGACCAGCCAGACAATTGAATCAATGAACTCCAGGCTCAGGGAAAGACCCTGTGTCAAAAGATACGGAGAGCTATGGTGGGAGAAATGTAGCATTGACCTTGGCCTTACACACGCGCGCGCGCACACACACACACACACACACACACACACGCGCGCGCGCGCGCAGGTGTTTGGAGATCACAGGTGCTGAGGCCTGTGGGCCCATCAGACAGTCACAAATCCACTCTTTCCCCTTTCTTCTGCGTCACTTTGATGTAAAGAACTACGCTGATTCTTGTTCCGTATAAAATAATTCAATACCAAGACAAAATGTGACCCACTCAAGCATGCTTAGGCTTCCCTTTGTCTCCTCCCGAAAATGAATGCAGGGGAAAACAGCCGTTTCCTCAGAAACGGCTGCTGAAGCATCACCTCTGTGGTGCTATTTTCTGAAGACCAGCAAGCCAGCTGTGGAGCTGCCAGCCTGAGGCTAGCCTGGAAGAGAGGGCTTTCATTTCTAGGTCACCAAAATACATTTTTCCCCAATGAGGCACACATGCCAGATCAGCCAATTTCAGTGCATCTCACCCTCCCATCCAAGGCTTCACACAGCAGAGTGGCTCCTTCTCTTCTGAATTGCCTTCAAGACAATTCCCCTCTATGAAGGAGAGCATCTTCAATTCAAATTCAGTAGCAAATGAATGTGCCGCCTTTGTATTTCCACAGCATTCTATGCTAACCCCTGCTGGTCCCAGCCAGTGCTGTGATCTTCTTTTCTTTTTCAAATATGCATTTCCAGAATAATGAAAACAAATCAAATCAAACAAATAGAAGGGCTGAGAGTGTTGCTCAGTGGTAGAACACTTTCCCAGGATGCGCAAGGCCCTAGATCCATACTAACCACCAAAAAAGAGAAGATAAGAGTGTAGAACACGTAGTATGGCAAGTGTTGTCTCACAGATCAATTCTGGTTAAATTTATCTACATCTGTCCATCTGTCTGTCTGTCCATCAGTCACTAGTGCCACAGTATACCATCTAGAGCAGTGGTTCTCAGCCTTCCTAATGCTGTGACCCTT